TGTAGACATGTAAAAATATGTGTATATATGTACGGTGTATATCTTTTTATGATATGAAGTCATCGTATAATATCATAAACTATAAAAAATAAGAAAATAAATATCCCATAAAAAATTATAGTTGATTTAATAATATTTTAATTTAGTTTAATTGAAAATTCAAGTATTGTTTAGTTTAGTTTTCAAAATTGGAAACGGATACGGATATATCCGATATCCGACCGATATCCGACGGATGCGGATACGGTTATGATTTTTCAATATCCGTCAAGATCCGTATCCGAATTCGATATCCGACAAAAGTAAACGGATACGGATTTGGTAATAGCACATCCGATCCGATTAAAATCCGTTTACACCCCTAATGCCATTTTATTCAACACAAAAATAATGAAAGGCTAAAAAGACTTTATGCCACTTGATGATCACATTTCAAACAGTCTAATTATGCTTAAGATGGTCGGCTCTCTTATCTTAACCTTTTTTCCCCCTAAAAGCCGTTTTGTAAGGGTCAATTTCCATTTGAAAAAAAGGACGATCCATTATGGTTTTGATTTTCATTTTTTTAAGATCTGTTATAATCGAAAGGGATTGACAAAAACACAACAATGGAACCTTCATTACCTTAAGTCTCTCATGTTGAATATTATCTTCGTCTCTCAGTATTTAACAACTGCACTCATAATCATCGAAAGAATTTAGAGGGATGATCAATTTTGATATTTCTTAATCAACCAAGATCAATTTTTGATTAGTAACTGGGCACGGTTCCGTTGCCACTAGCGCTGCCACTATGGTCATGTTCTCCTCAATTTAATTTTTTTACCCATTACTTATTCTTATTAAAATCAGATCAGATCACATCGGAAACAACTTTGAATATAACTATATCCAGATCAGAATTTATTCCAATCAAATCAGAACCATTCACATCAGGTAAAAGAACATGACCTACATTTTTAACGCCTCTGGTGCTCTGTTCCATTTGCAAAGTTGATGGTTTCTACCTACCTAATCCCCACCCATTCCTAAGCCTCCCTCCAAATGTTTGAATGTTATTCATATCAAACTCTAAATCTGATACTCCTTCCGTCCCACAAAAAAGTTCCCATTTTGAATAGTATTTAGTCAAATATTTACACGCTTTGACTACAAATTGTGAGAAAGGTATATTGAATTATAAAATAAATGTAATATAATT